GAGCCATCATCGAATTCGAATGGAGAACGATTACGACAACGAACTGGGCCGAATGCTTTCACGTAGAGCTGAATTTGAAAATCTGGATGACACCGCATTATGCCGTCTCGCCAGGTGAGGCACGCAAATATCATTGCTTATAGTCCCAGTTTGAGAACTATCGCTCTTGCAATACACTGCGAAGCATAATCATAGTCCACCCATGAATCTCACAAAATCCTGTCTTACACGAAGTTTTCCAAAATGCCCCATACAAAAAAATGTGGTAATTACCAATACAGTTCGCATGCCAACAACAAACACTTTTTTTCGTCAATTTTTCAAAAATGGTCGTTCTGACAACGCAGCAAAAGTATAGTTCCACCGAACAAATCGAATATTCCAACAACAAGTGTACAATAAAATGAATAAATTTTGATCCAGTAATCTATTGGAACTCTATTTCTCCAATTAAGTTGGAAAATACGGTTGCCCATGTTCGATTAGAGATTTTAATAGGCTTTCGGCCGACTGCCCCAATGATTAACTCCCTAAGCTCACGGACATTGTGGAATTGTGCATTACTCTCATGGATCATACGCACCATGAAGCCCCTCACATCCTCGATTGGGTTTTAGTCGGGGCTACTCGCTGGCCAGGGCAAAAGAGCGGTTTGGTGACAACTGAATCACGCTCGAGTGCTTCGACTGTCATGAACTGGTGCATTATCCTGCATGAAAACGGGACTTTCTTGCTGATTTCTACGCCAGAAAGCAAGGAGACGTCGTCGCATGACTTTTAGATGACGGAAGAAGTCATTTCTTTTTTTATACGGAGCGCAGTTTCAGACTTCCCTGACTTCGGAACTCCAGTGGATATGGTCTCATGGCAGCCCAGACCATGAGACCGCATCCACTGAAGCGCATCCACTGAAGTTCCGCCCGGAAAAATGAAACTTGTCTTTCCTCAGGTCGTGCCAGCGGAATCGGTTTTCGTCGGAGCCGTCGCAGTTGAATTTTTTCTCATCAGAAAACACGACCGCGAGAAAAAAAAACTGAAAAACAACACAGACAAGCAGTAGGGCACCGCAGCCAAAAGCTAACCTCACTCCATTGGGTTCGGCAACATCTTCGAGCAAAGCCAATTAGGTTTTCGCGATGGTTTTTCGTTAGAAACAGTACGTAACTCATATTCCCCTATGGGTGAACTCGGGAGTTTTTCAAGAGACGCCTAACAGTATCCTCCGAGACATTAACCTGTGAAGATGACTTACAGTCCTCATCATTGCGGACCGGTGGGGCGTGTCAGCCAGAAGGAGTGCGCACACTGTTGAAGCCGTTCTCAGCCTTTTTGTTGCAACGCGTATGCGACAAAAAGTGGTAGAAAACGAGTAATACGAAGGATATTATACAGTAATGCACTTGTTCGCTTCAAAAACTGGTGCAGAACGACTTTGCCAAACCGCACCAAATGCAGCCGCACTGCCACGCCCCACCGGTCCGCAATGATGACTTAATTTCCCGACACGACACTGCAGAGTTGGATGCTTTCCTAAGGATACGGCGGTTATTCCGATCGGGCAGCAAAGGAGGATGTCCAGAGCTCTTCTCAACTCAATATGCTGTAGGTCCCTTGGAAAAAATTGTTGATAGAATGATGAGTGCGGCCCGAATCCCGAGCGATCGACGCTTCACCAGTTTTTGAGTCTTCTTTGCGATAATCTGTCCTTTTTCGAGGTCCATTAATGAAGTTCCACTTGCCATAGCCTAGAAGAGGCAAGAAGTCATAATGATGAGAAGTTTCACCGAACAAAAATGAGATGCAGCCGGAAAATATGCGGTGGAACTATATTTTTGCTGCGTTGTCAGAACGACCATTTTTGAAAAAATTGACGAAAAAAAATTGTTTTTTCAAGCTAGAGTTTGGTGTTGGCATGCGAATTGGTATTGGTAATTACCACATTTTCTGTATGGGGGCATTTTTGAAAACGTCGTGTAAGACGGGATTTTGTGAGATTCATGGGTGGAACTATGATCATGTGAT